ATGAACGCGTTACTCCCCGGAAAGGACAATAGCGCGTTCGTTCCCCACCATAGACACCTGCGGTCCAGAGTTTTGCAAATGTCTCAGCAACGTTGTGGTTGTGTTTCGCTTAGTACCCTGCCGCGAAATTATAGTAGGCAGAAAATATAAAGGTGTAACATTATCCAAGTACTAATAATCGTATTCGTTCAGAAAAACACTCTCCTCGAGATTTTCTAACAATTATCCCAATAACCCGTGCTCACATACCACATTTTTTGAACTTACGTGACTTCTTCTTGGATGAAAGGCTTCTCTCAGGTTTCCGCTTCTTTGTCCGCTTTCATTTGAAATATTAGCGCCCATCGGCAATTAAGAGCTTGTGTGGCGCAGTGGTCGGAGGTGCTTTGCAATACACATGAGATCGATTCCTGCACCCCTGGCCCACTAAGCCTTCCGTCTTTCCGCTTTCAGCAAATTGGAGCCAGACTCGTCTGGCAAGATAGCAACACACTGGCTCGATATTCAGTAAACCACCGCCAGTCATTGTAAAAGCCAGTTATGCATTCAGTCACCTCCAAACGATGCTTAGTGAAGTCGAATGCAAGGCGCTTCCTTAAGAGATTGATTAACGCCAAGAGCTTTCTTTTATCGGTGAATATTTTAACACTGAGATCCTAGCGTGAACTGATTTCCACTCATCTGTAGCCCAAAAGTAATCTTGCTCCCTCTAAGTTTAAACATGTCTCAGGTGGGAGTGAGCTTTACTAGTTCAGATAAGAACCATTAGATTCTACCAAATCTTGTCAATCAAATACGAATTTTATTACTCTTTCGCCACGAAACTGATCCTATAGAGCTCGAAAATATTGTTTTTCTCGCTTACTTCGGCCGTTCACTGAATTTCAAATAGAGAGGCGACTAGACAAACGGGATTTCCATATGGCAAGGTGTGGTGATGTCCTACAATATACTGATGTTTGCGCTACTGGAAAAACATGATTTCAACTTTAGTTTCTTGGAAAGTTCAACTGTAAACAGGTGTAGAAACAAAATGAAGCTTTAAAAAAAACGTGTTCGCCATTAAGGGAACGTTCTAGGCGCGAAAAAATTACCAACGTTTTTCAAGAACCAAACATCTTCAAATGCTGAAGTTTTGAAAACGTTTTGCACTTGTTCTTCTTCCTTTTTTCCATTAACATTACTCATTACAAAACCGGCTGCTTGGCAGCCGCCAGAAATTCTTCCATAACTTGCTAGCGCTCGAGAGCCGACGGTCTTTAGAGATTTCTAAAAGTAGTGGACTTTACCGGTTGTTCCAACGATGTGCATAATTCTTGTAGCACGTAATTTTAACCTTAATTTCGTTGCCAATTGATCTTTTTCAAAAATTTGTGGTAAAGTTAGCGAAAATCCAATTTTGGATTGCAAGGCAAGCACCGCTGTCGAAATGGGTTTTCCATTTTTAAGAGTGAAAAAGCATAACACATCATCTAGAAAATTGGAATTTCGTCCTGGAAGGAGGTTATTGAAAAGGTCGTTTCAGATTACATTAATTGTTATTTTAACTAGCACACTTGGATTTTGTTTATTTTACTCTTTTCATGGGGCTCGTGTAGCGCAGTGGTCTTAGATGCCCCACAACACACACGTTGTAAAGGCCAGATATACATTGAATCACCACCAACGATACTTAATGAAGGCGAATGCATGGCGCATCCCTTAGGGATTGATCAACGCCGAGAGCTTATCCTTTTATCCTTTTATGATTTTTAAATGAAGAAAACAGGAAAGTCTGCATGCGACTTCTTCTTCTTGTACGACAACATTTCATCTTTTTTTCATTTGTTTACAATGGAACGTTTCGGTAGAGTCAAAATGAAACCGGTTGCAAGGTTAATGAGCCTTGTGAGAATATCATCTCATCGTAAAGAGTTGTACGTGAAACGTCAAAGTGTCAAAACGATGTGATTACTACTGTCATCACCAAGTTACGAACACTCATGTGTCTGATACGATACGGCTAGATTGAAGAGTGGGTGGTTTCGCCCATTTCATCTATCCCATCTGTTTCCCCAGTCTCGTTGGCGAAACCGAAATCGAATGTGATAGGGAATAACTTGCTTAATGACGTGAACAAGGTCGTCGAATGTTCCATTCTATCCACCTGCTTATTTCCACGGTTCAATGACGATCCATGTCAAGCGAATGCTCTTTCCACCTTTCGTCTTCCGGACTATGTTTGGTTTCTATAAGGAGCTGTGGTGTTGTTTCTGATGGAGAACCAGGTATCTCAACGTGACCACACCACTTCTCCTTTAGCTAGTTTTTCTCCAGTACACGTTTTTCACCTATTTTTTTGTTCCTAAGATCACAAGAAGTATTTTCTTACCGCTGATCAGAGCAGTCATACCTACAACCTTCTTTCATTTCTTCCAACTACTAAGCCATGCTCAGATGTGTTTTTCTTTTCGTTCTGGGGAAATCTTGAGTACTCGCACAGCAAATCATTCGTACTGTCCTTTTCGACAAAACCTAATTTCTTCCTCGATTTGTTCGTATGACTGTTGTCCTTCTTAATTTTTAGCTTAGTGTCTTTTGTAGGTTTCACTGAAATTTTTTTCGCGCCCATTTGTTGAACTTAGTACATTTGATCAGAATATAATATAAGAATACTCTGCTTTATTTTAATCGTTGATTGGCCTCAAATAATAAATAGCCATCACTCTCATCTGTACTATTGAAGGCTATCAAATTTTTCATTTATGGAGCATCTACTTTATTTATTTTGCAATATCCATGGTCACACTCAGTGTGCGAATCTTATGAGGTGGGTGAAACCCAGTGGCTAGAGGTGCCCTTTTATACACACGTGATCGTTGGTTCATTCCTGTGCCCTGGACTAGCAACTCTCAGCATACCTCTGGGTCAAGCAAACTGGTAGCAAACCTGTATAGTATCAGCGACCACGTATGTTTTGCAGGACATCTATAACTATCTCTGCTTTACATACGCCTCCTACCATTAAAAAAGGATAAAGCTCTCGGCGTTGATGAATACCTGAGCGATGTGCCATGCATTCGACTTCATTAAGCATTGTTTGGAGGTGATTGAATGCATATCTGGCCTTCATAATAACTCGCAGTGGCTTGGCAATGAATTGAGTCAGTGCTGCTATCCTCCCAAACAAGTCTGGTACCAATTTGTCGATCTCGGAGAGATGGAAGGCTTGGTGGTCCATGGGCGCAGGGATGGATTCCACGTGTGTGTTGCACGGTGCCTCCGACCACTGCTCCACACGCGCCACTATAGTGTTAAATCGTTCACGATAAGTATTTAACGCTTGACTACTAAAACTCTTATATGGCGGTTCAAATACTTGTCAAGGTGATTCGATAGAAATTGTAGTTGAAATCCGAGAACTAGATGGTGAGGAAAGGGGAGAGAGGGAGAAAAAGAGTGAAAGAGAGGTGTCGGAAGTAATGAATTGAAGAAATAAGGGGTGAAAAAATGAAAGAATGGAAATGCGAGCGTGATTAATAAGCGAGAAATGAAAACATATTAATGTAAAGAGCAAAAGAAACTACTCAAAGAACCACTTTGACGACAACGTTCATAATATTACTGTGCAGACGTGACTTTTTCCTACAATGATTTTATGCCCTTCCTATGGCAGCTTAATGTTTCCAAGCACTTATCAGTGATATAATGGGGTATTTTGATCGCTGTTGTGATAACGGTTGCACGTTATCCTTCCTCCGAGTTGTCACGTATAACCAAATAACCTCTAGAAAGCATTGTTTCCTTCATTTTTTCGACAGCAACTTAAAAACTAAGTTGATGTTCAGCCGAAATTTTAAAGCAAGAACAAGATAGCACAATCTTATTAACCTTAATAACTCAAGAAACCTCCTTTCTATAAACCTCGGAATAAATGGTTGATATATTTATTTATATGATCTTATAAACAGGTCTTGCTGAGCTGGTGCGAGGATGGCACAAGTTTTCGTTGTCGTTGTTGTTGTTGTTGTTGTTGTCGTTGTTGTTGTTGTTGTTGTTGTTGTTGTTGTTGTTATTGTTGTTGTTGTTGTTGTTGTTGTTGTTGTTATTGTTGTTGTTGTTGTTGTTGTTGTCATCGTTGTTGTTGCCATTGTTGTTGACGTTGTTGGTCGATGGCTGACGTCTCTGCGATTTCGCCCTCCTCACAGCCGTGCTGTTCCGAGTGCGACTACCAGCCTCGCATCAGCTCAACCGGATCGGTTTATAAGATCATATAAATGAACCTTATTAACCACTTTATCCATATGCTGCTTAAAAATTTTTCAATATTACATTGTAGCAACTATAGTACTTCGATTTTTTCCTATTTCTGGGAATAATGACAGATTTGAAAGAGAAAGGATGAAATTACTACTTTTATTGTCACTCATTGCAGCTATTCTTTTATATGACCCGTCTTCATGAGCTTTGCGAATCCCAGCACTTCTCTTATTCCTTCGTCCCCATGCATCTGTTACCCACGAAGATCGTCGAATTTACTTATAGGTTTGGCTTCCGCTTGATGACGTCGACCTTCCTCATGAATGTCTGCGATTCCTCGTCGAATTGATCGCCTGAAGAATGTTGGCGTTGCCATGCAAATTATTCGTGCAACTTTATAGATCTGTTGGAGTTCTTCCGAGCAAGTTTGCTACCAATTGGCTGCTACCCGGAGAGTAATAATGGTAGGCTTGGTTGGCTTAGGGCGGAGTCGAATCAGTGACTATGCGTGTGTCGCACGGCATCTCTAACCACTACGCTTCTCTGACGTTCATAATTGTTGGGATATTTGCTGTCGTTGTAATTATTATGACCATCACTATCGCCATTATTATAGCTGTCATCTTGTCGGTCATTTTCTATCTTTTTATTGCTATGCCTTGTTTCCTACTCAGTAGTTCATAAATTACCTACTAGTTGGCATACTAGCCGGAGGTGATACATCCATCATTAGATCGCTTCATTGACGTTTCTTTGGTTAATGGCTTGCTTACACTCTTACTACGACGGCGCAATGTTCACGGGTGTCTCGAACTGAGATTCATTCTTCTATGAATGTCTCACGAATTGAGAAAGTAAAGTAATTTCATTCTCAAAGAGAACGTTGGAGAGCTTTTAGTACTGGTTCTTGACCATTTGTGCAGAATATTATAATACAACTTTTTTGCTTGGAAACTTTTGCTTTTGCTTCTCTCTTCTTCAGAGGAAGAAAGTGTGACGATGAACGAAACGGGTCCAAAATGTGTCAATAATAGTTTTTGCTTTCTTTCTTCTACCTCAGATGAGCACTCGGGCATTCACTGTGAACAATAGAATGTGCTGAAATCGATGCTTTTGTTTGTTTCGGCTATTGGAAGAAATGAGAATCATTGAAGTTCAATAGAAATGCCTGAAGTCGACCATTTGATAAAGATTTTCTCTTAAGTTATTTTTGAAGCTAAATTCTACATAAAAATAAGTTAGTGATTATCAGACATAGTAGATATGTTTGGCGCGGTGGCTAGAAGTGCCTTGCAACTCAACTCAACATCTTGATGCGAACCTCCGCCGAATGTTACGTTCTCCATCTCTAAAAACAATTACTAGCCATATTTGTAGGCTCCAAAAAGTCGTCGAAGAAGCCAAATATGCATTCCATCATCTCTAGGACTCCACGAATGGAAGTGAATGCGTGACAAATCCTTCAGAGTTTTACTGATGCTGGACTTTTTGTCGTTTATTCTTAGAAAGAGCGGGAATATTTATACTTTTCAGAAGTTAGGGAAGTATTTAGAAAAATTGGAAAAAATTACTACTACGTAGTGGGCTAGTTGTATTAACACCAAAACCGTTGTCATAGGGCGTGTGTGGAGTAGTGGTCGGAGACGCCCTGGAACACACACGTGAAATCGATCCCGGCGCCCATGGCGCGCCAAGCCTTCCATCCCTCCGCAGTTGGTGAATTGGTACCAGACTTGTCTGGGAGGATACTGGCACTGGCTCGATACATCGGTTGGCCACCGCGAATCATAGTAAAGGCCAGATATGCATTCAATCACCTCCAACGATGGTTAGTGAAGTCGAGTGTATAGCGCATCCCTCATGGATTGATCAACGCCAAGTGCTTTATCCTTTATCCTTCATTTAGCAATTAAATTGAAGAAAATTGATGATGAGAAACGGAAACCACGACGTATCCTACAAGTAAGTGACCTGACTCATGTTTTGGAACTCTTGGACTACAGAACTTTCTATCCTGCTCTGTTTTTGACTATTTCCTCTTCCGACTGTATCGTGGGATTTTTGTTCGATTCGATTTTTTGGCTGTAAAATACCTTCATTCATCTTTAGTTTAGGTGTTTAAAATTGTTGAATACATCTCTTTAGATTAGATTTTTACATAGACTAACTTCATAAGATAACATATCTCTGGATGCGTTCAATGTGTTAATTTAATTTTAATTTTAATTATTTATATCAACGATCGATCACCAGTTTCTTATTGAGAAGCACCATTGAATTGTTATTATTTTTACTGCAAAGTCAGATCTATTTACATTGATTAATTCTTCACAGTGAATAAGAAAACGAGGTTGCACAGTAGTTAAAAATGCCGTGTAATTTCAAGAATAGTTACGGGTTCGACCTCAACCGATCTAGCTTCCTTCACCTCGTCGCTAGATGCTCGACAAATGGATTCTAAATTTTTCTGGAAAGAGCCTTTTCCAATCCAAGGTAAGGCTAGAAATAGCTTATGCTGTAGATCTGAATACTCTTAAGAAGGTTGCGGAGCGAATTAGGCTAATGTTCAACGGCGTTCATGAAGAAGGCAAAGCCCTCAAGCCACAGGCGAACCCTTGCATATATTTGAAGACTC